TACATGTTAGGTAACACTATCCATTGCGCAACAGAACTCCCCTGTGACGTCAGATTTCCACAAACAACAAGCGATCTATCTCTCACCCTGGCAGACTTCCACTGCCATTTTTCCTGGTGCTATTTTTTAAGATTTGCATGGAAATCAGATTCAATTCAAATTCTGACATCCAATTGTTCGTGTTGATTGAGAATGAAATGACAATTGCCTGCAGTTTAATAATTTGTTTAAAATTTACTCAAAGTATGGAATTGGAATGAATCAATCAAGGAGAAAAAAATCAGGTGCGATTTATTAATCTCTATAAATGTACCCGAGGAATTAATTACGCAATACTGAAAGTGCTCAAAGTTCGCCATCCCCAGGTCTATAGACAAAATGGATAACGCTACCGTTAAATCAATATCATTTTGTCAGAACAGCATTTCTGTCTACTATAGGTTAATGCTTTACCATCGTCTTTTAAATGTATAAAAAATCATGTACCATAAAAATATATCCCGTTGTTTTGATCCTTGAAATTGGCCCTGCACTTTAATTTTTTGTTATGTCAGGAATATATATTGCTTCACCCGAGATAATTGGATTTCAGCTTTAAGACGAATAAGGTTGATATTCGTTATTTGTGATCATGTATTGCATTTGACGTAAAGCTGAATGACGGATGACTCCATGTTGAAAGCTGAAGTAACGCTCTCTTGCGTTGTTTCACTTGATAGATATCTGCAGAGGAGCTTGGATAATGACGATTTTATTTATACAAAGTGGCTATAGTGTGTGATTCTACTTAGCTCGATATCTTTTACATTTTGGCATCAATCATTGTGTGTCATGGGTAAGAGCGTAACTGTAGATTCTATATAGATTGAAAGTAAAAATGTCTGGCAACGTAGACCCGGGATTAACAATTATCGACGTTGTTCAGCCATCAAGTCATGTCTGAAAATATTGATAAATTAAGATTTTCTTCGGTGCATGGTAGACGACTGTTAATAGCAGTTATCAAATTATCCTTACCCAAAGTCCTTTAAAACAAATATCAAACTGTGATAAGGGTGAGAAAAAGAAAGGTTAGTTTTAATTGCTTGTTGCTTTCATCTACGGATTAGATGGTAACAAATACTCGCCCTTTCATCATAGCCACGGCATATTTTGGCATAATGTGTCCTGAATATGAAGGACAAGGTATATAATATCACTTTGTGTTGAATCAATGGCGTGAGGTGTGATAACAAATCAGGCCCTTTAGCGTCATTGATGAGTCCCGGAAGTCCAATACAGCCGTACAAAGTGCAGTTTAGTTCATTTGGTTCTATTGTACGTTTGAGCAATTTCTAGATATTCACTTATATGTCTTTACACATTCTTCGAAAATGTTGGTGGCTGACACCGGTGGTAGAATTTTTTTGCCGTAACTTGCAAACCATGTTCTATCTTAAAATTATTGGAATCAAGGCAGGTTTCCTAATATGAATAATTTAAGCCCTTAACGTCAATAGCAAATGCTAGAAGAACTAAACAACTGCTTTACGATTTTCATTAATCTGGCCTCACTGTAGTTAGTTCTAAATGTGTATTCTTACGGTTTGACGAGTGATTTGTTTTACTCTTTTGAGAAGACTGACTGTGTTAATGCTTTCGTATATTTAGTATGTATTGGTTGCCACGATGGAAATATCATGGTAAGCTGAGGCTGAACAAACAGCTCATCGTTCCTAAGAACACGTTGCTTGAGGATTCAACATATTCTGACCTTGTTTTGCAACCAAAGTTTCATTGCTGATGTCCTATGACATGAACAACAAGAAAGTATCAGTATTTAAACACACACTCTAATTCTATAAAACTGTTGCAACATACGAACAAAAAGAAAGATTTACTCGGAAACCCCTAAAAATCAAGAAGAAGAATACAAGATGTTCCGAAATGGCTAGCGTTTTCTGCTTTATCGACGAGAACTGCTATATACATTTTGGATAATCCTACCATCCCCATTCTCGCCAACTAAAGTTGATTACTACAAGTAAGATCAATAACGAAACTATAGAACAACAATTAATATCAAAATCATGGAAACGGTAACTATAACTATTTAGTCAGAGACCATTCAAAATGTTTAGAAGAGACAGGACCAGCTAGTTCGTAAGATCCAGTCTTCTGCTTTATTGCTGTGTGTGTAAAACTGTTACATTCGTCACGTTTGTAAATTAAGACTCGGAGTAGTAATAGCAAGGCTATCCTATCAGGAATAGTAATGAAAGTCAGATACATCAAGATTATATAACACAAGGAATACCAAATATAGAACTTTCCAATTTGTTTTCATCAGCCTGCACCTTCGACAACCTGTGCATGTTTTGTACATAAGTCTTATAGTCACTAATTTACATCACACAAAGAATATCTAATAAAGCGCTCTCCAGTTTGTTTTTATCAGCTCCTTCAAAACCATGTGCATGTTTTGTTTATGAGTATTGTATTCACCAATTTACATCACACAAGGAATATCTAATATAGAACTTTCCATTTTTTCAGAAGCCTGCACCTTCGGAACCCTGTGCATGTTTTGTACATAAGTCTTATAGTCACTAATTTACATCACACAAAGATTATCTAATAAAGCGCTTTCCAGTTTTTTTTTACCAACTTTCAAAACCCTGTGCATGTTTTGTTTATGAGTCTTGTATTGTCAAAACATTTTTTGGGTGGGTGATGGGGGAGGGGTGTTGATAAATGAGGTAACATTTTAACTGGCTATTTATTGGAGGTATTTAGGCCTGATGGCAGTCTTCCGGAACACTGTTTTGATGTCAAGAAGAAATGCTTTTCATATATCCAGAAATCAACATGGCGTCCCCTCCAAGAAATATTCAAAATTACTGTCGAGATTGCCATGAAGTATTCTTGATAAAAATATTCGGCTCCCAACACTATTCATCATCCCCTTGGGACTTCAAACTACCGACCACAGATGAAGTTACTTAATGCAAATTGTCAATTCCTAATGTTTTTTAATTCAAAAGTTTTAATCTAATATTGAGATGATTTAAGTATGCCTCATGATGAATGATAATTTAAATAAAGTGCCATTATTAAGAGATGGAATTGATATTGAATTGAAATATGACTTCCTGAGATTTAACGTGCAATTTTCCTGTGAAATTTGCGACAACACATTTCGTCTTTGTCAATTTCGTTCACAGTTCGGTTGGCTTGATCTGTTCTCACGTGGCTGCCTAAATAGGATCCCTTGTCAACAAAATATTATCATTAAAAAGTGTTATTTAACACTTCACAGGCAGATAATAGATATTTCAGATCACCCCTTATCGTAATCAAATCTATATGTAAGTTTCAAAACCAACCTCTGACCAGTTCCGCAAGACTAAACTCACCTACACCTGCAATCATTATCATAAAACTAACCAATCTACGCCGAATGTAAAATAGTTTGTGATATTCCGGCTGTGAATTTTGAATGCAGAAGTCACCTTCTCTCTCAATGCCTAACGTCTTGACGTGGTTTTAACATTTGTTATCAATTTTAAAGAATGGATGGGGGATATTCTTTATTGTTCACAGTGACAATGTACAATTGGTATCTATACCGAAGCATATTTGATAAACATTTCTACAAGCGGGATCGCTAACCAGGATAAAAGGCGCCCTAGTGTCGTCGAGCAACGGAACAAAAGAAGTCTGGACAGTAAATACGGTTAAGTATGGATCAGAGCAGAGGGAAATGGTCAAAATGATAACTAAGGTCCAGGTCGCTGAAACGTGACGTCGTTAACGAGATTACAGCATGGAAGCTCATCAATAACCAAGGTTGATCGCTGGTCGCAATGTGCGGCCAACAGATATTATACAGAGAGTGTTACCATACAACGGAGTGCGACGTTGTCGGTTTATCGGCCGAGTGGCCGTAAACACCATGTAACTGTTTCTGTCTGGCTTTTTTAGTTTATCGTTCTATGATTACATTACACCGGTGATAAACACCAAAACACACCATGATGATATATATCTGACACCTTTGATGTGACTGGACAGCATCCTCTTTTTCGCCTATGGTGTATGTATAATATACATCGGAAAACAAGATAAGTGCTTATGAAATTAATGTTGAGTAGACATTTTGAGATTTTCTGATCATTAAAGGTGTCGCTTGATACGACATAATTGAAAAATTATCAATGATCCTGGTCCTTTGAGATTAAAAGGCTTGAAACTCGAGCACACACATAAGCGAAATAAAAGTGACGAGTTATCCTGTATAAAATAGTCGTTACTTTGTGAAATAGCTTGTCTTGTCGTGTTTGATTAATATCACTTTGATTGACTGGCGATAAAATCCAATCCCTTGTTCCTTAATATAAAGGAAATTCAACACTTACCAGCAGATTAACGTTGCCATATTCAAAATTAAAAGACAAAAGCCGTATAAGATATGTTGTTCACGTTAGAAATTTAGAAATAGCTGGCGTTGGTAAATCTAGTGCGAATTCAGAGAGGAATATGACAAATCTACATAATATGTTTTCCTGTACGTTATTATAACACTAAACTCTCTGAATAGCCCTCATGAAGTCCGACTCTATAGCATATTCCTTAGTCTACACTTATGCGATATAATTTATTCATCAATGATCTTGGTCCTTTGCGAAATCATTATACAGTTTCACTAGTCAATAAAAAATGATGCCATTTTTATTTGATGGTTTGATTACATACATTTTGACCTATTTGAATATGTTTTCCAACAGATAAAATTTTGGGTCATCTACCATATAGGCTTTCAATAGATCTCACTGTATCCTAGGATATTATAATGAAACTACACACCCCAATACATCTGGTAGCATACCGCGATGTCCGGCACCTAATCGCCTATATATAGATCGATTACTTGTTACGCGTTTACTAGACACACAGATAAATCAAACGTTCCAACACGTCTTAGTATAAATGTAGATTCATTTTATGTAAAGAGTACTTACGTCCCCTCGGAAGATTTTCTGATGACTGCTGTGACGTCAGACTCGATTGCAGTAGAAACACAATCAACACAGCGCATACACTCATGGTCTGAATCTGTTAAGAATAGAGAAAACGTAAAGTATATATAAGAACAAACCCAAAAGGCATTTGATTGAATTGGTCTTTCGAAATTACCTCTTTTCCACGACAGTCTATTTGTTTGAATGTACTTTGTATCTCTTAACTGATTAGATGTTGTCAAGCGGTACCTTGTGTGAAGATTTGCGGCCTGTAAAGTAAACAAACGTGATTAATACTGTCTGTTTCTAAAAGATATCTTATCTCTGCTTTTTCTGACGGTATACTTCGGTTGTACTGTCTCTTACTTACTGGTTCACCGCTCTGTATTGCGAAGTGAGTGAGATGGATGTCAGTGAAAGTAAAAATAACAATATTAACGGTACTTTCTTTCTACTCCTGGTTGTATTTTAAGAACCTCTATTCTATAACCATATCACGGTACAATTATCTCTATCCTCATTTCAACAAAATAAACACCATCAAAACTTTAATAAATGTAGAAATTAGGTTCACTCAGCCAAGGATTCTTGACACCAGTAATATTAAACAAATAAGTATAATTTCTTATACTTGTTCCTGGTCTTACCATTGTTTACGACACCATTGGGTAAGTTGGTTATCTCGTCGTTGTGTATGATACGTCAAAATCAAAGAACAAATCCGATGGTATTCAAGGGTTCGTTCCCAATATCATGATTTTCGAGCAAGATGCCGGCAGCAAAGAGATTAAATCACAACACAGGTTATGGAGAAATGAAAGCTGATGAAGACCTTGGTGAAGGTTTACTTCCGTTATAGTGCTTTCCTTGGACAGTATACTATTCTTTTATGGAATTCGATGTGGCATTACTTTTGGACTCATTAATGAAGCGTCCGGTGATTTTTAAAGAATTCATTGATATTCATTTTAAATGTATTTATTGTTAAATGCATAACATATATCCAACATTTATGAGCATTACCGAAGATGGGAAAGAGTTGAGGGAACACCTGTTACACCATATTAGTAAGAACGATATATAACACTGCAGGCTTTTTAACATATGATTTTTTCAAAATTATTTTGTAGTAATGTCTTTAGATGTTAAAACTTTAAGCATAATTTGAATATGTGGAATTGTATATGCAAAGATTTTACAAACAAGTGAATAACACCTTTTAATACAAATTTAGAGTTAGCCAAAGTAGAGTCAAACTTGAAATTAAACTGCATCACACAGTTGTTTCGTCCTTCTAGAACTCGTCAAGGACGCCAAGCCTTAATTTTGAAGCCTAGGATACGACTGAGAAAAAATTGATCGAAAGTCAAAATCTAGAACAGGGGGTGCACTAGCCATATGATTCAATAAATTTCGTGATTTTTATCTATCAAATAATATAAAAACAACGTCACGTATGTGTTAAGATACACGTTTCCTAAAACAAAGTTACGTAAAAGATTCGCCTCACTACCCTATAATATTTTTGATGGATGCTTGAATCAAGGAAAATAAATGCTATCTGTCACACAATGATGGCAAAGATCATCACCTCACCGTGACCTTTAAATCGCACTGGAAAGAACAATTATGAGTCGGTTTATCCAGCAAACAAATCAGCTTTCGGTATTTTTACTTTAAATATTAAGCACAGGTATAGCGTCTATGACCTTCAGAGCAACAGAGGTATTGCCGTTATTTGATTAACAACCCAGCAATATCCCATCAGGTGTACAACAAGAATTACCAAAAGGAGAGTAATATGTTTCAAGAAGAGCTGGATCAACTTTTCAAATTTAAATAGTGGTAGGTAACTTTACTTCTATATATCAACTGGTTGATGGGGAAAAAAGATATCACCCTCCTGAGATGTAGGATATTCTATATAAATCCAATATATCACTGAGAAATGTTTGAACTTGACAGAGACTGTTCCTTAGTTGCCAATCACGGTAGGCGTTTAGGAAAAATCAAGGTGAAATAGAGTTAAACAATGCTAAGGAAAAGATTGTAAAGTAATCTTGTGACCTTCATAACATCAAAGCACTCTTCTTGGTCTCGTAATTTACAAAATAAATCTTCTATATATATATATATATATATATATATATGTTCAGTGTCTAGAATGCAAAACATACCGAGATTGATATAACATTTTTTTTTTTTTTTTTTTTTTTTTATTTTAATCACCATCTTCCATACAATAACTTGGGATGTTTTTTGTTTGCTATAAAGGGTCTTCGGCGTCCATCGACCGAAAGGATTGTCGAGACATCAAAGTTTGTGTAATATTTGTGTCTTAATAAAGGGGCGGGTTGCCTCGAAAATTCGACAATTCGCTTGTCCTTACCGTCGCTATTACCTCACTGATCTCATATATATTATTGTCTAAAAATGAACGAAACATAAAAGCATTTTTGGAAAACTGAAATCTACATCATTATTCGTTTTAGATGTTCATGTATGGGTTTTAAATCAGAGTAAAAACAAACATAATCTTAAAATGATATGTGAGATGAAGATAATAAAAGAAATTTATATATATATTCATATCCCGATGTACACTTACATTAAAAAAATTGTCGATATACGAACAGGCCTTAAAAGCGATTTTTAAAAACCGAAATCTGCTTCAAGAGGAAGCGTTTTTTTTTCTTTCACACGACATCCATCCCTTCTGTTTTAGACCACTTTAAAAGCAACACGAAACATCAATAAAGGAAGCAGCATGTTTTACAATGAACGGCGTGTAGTTCCCATTGGTGTTTTATTTCCGTTTTCACGCTGACATTTGTTTTGGTGTGTTTATAACCAAACCAAGATTAACCGGACAACTATTCTAAGAAACCATGATATCTCTTAATCCGATTTTATCGTAGCAATTTCCGGATTGACAAGAGTCCAAGTTCGTCTTGATTAGTTTTATCTAATTAGGGTAATTAGCTCACAGGACAGTGTGTGTATAGCTACTATGGAGAATTATAATTTGCCACACGACTTGTCCACCATTGTTGTATAAGAACAGTTCCGAGAACACCTGCCCGCGTAGGTGTTGAGGTCTGGTCGTTGTCGAATGTCCATTCAGAGGAGAGTGGACAAGAGTCAAACCCAAATACAATTTTCTGTAAATTAGTTATTTATTAATATCGACTTACATCTAATACAATTTACCAATAACACACGATATGTTATGTATAATTCAAGGGACGATGCGGATATTTCTACCTAGCCTGTGTGATTTACTACTGCTATAAGATTGAACTAAAGACATACGTGTAAACTAAGATACTGCAGAGCAAAACAATGAATTTAATTGCATCATAGAACCCCTCCTTCCTAACAAAGAATAAATTCCTGAATATAAAATTACCTGAAGATATCGTTTGAAACTCCATGTTAGAAGTTACATAAAATATATAAAGACTTGAGACGTAAGGAAACAGCGTCTTGGTTCATTGCTACGGGATAGTAAATCAAAGTACTGAAAGACTGAGAGGCTAAACGTATTGAAAAATGTTCACAAATAACCGCTAAGCTATATTACTTTCCCCATACTCCTACACTTTGGAATGCAAAAATTACTAAAATAAGAGCACCAAAGGCTATTTTTCTTAAGTTTAAGCGATTTTATATCTTCTTTAATTCTTATTTCAAATTTGACGACAATAAGGTGAATAAATCAAAATAGGTGAAAAAAATAACAAAATACACACAACCATATATTTATCGCCAACAAGCCAAATGATAAATAGCTCTATGATGAAGTTGACTAAATAAAACTTTAAAATACCCAAGATGTTGCAATTACTATCCTATCAATATGAGAATTTAAACAAATTGAAAGGACTTTATACCTACTTCTTTATGTTGAATGTATTGCAAAGTAATAGTCCTTACTTATTATAATCATATTTGTAGTAGAGGAAAGTAGATAAGGTATACACAGCATTTCAGATAGATAAAAGTGTAAGTAATTACATTAAATGTATTTACATGCCTATCTTCCTTGAAGTATCATGGTTAGACTTTTCTTCCAGTAATTATGTCTATAAAGGCATAGTTCTATGAGATTAAACCAGACTTCCATATATATACAAAATTTACAATATTTTCACTATAGCTACTACTATTTCTGATCTCTAATGCATTAGATAATGTCACCATGACACGCTAAATGAATAAATATGTTACAGAAATATTTCGTTCTAGTTAATTGATAATAATAAACATGAATATTTTGGGTTTTTTTAAACGCGCTTTGTTTGAAGGAATATTTTCATTTCAAGGAACTTTGATACACATTAACAAACATTGAGAAATCAGCACAATCAACCTTCATCAAATAAAACTAAAAGACAAAAAAATGTAAGTTATAACAAAGTCAACATCATGATCAGTACAGTATATAAAAATATATCATTCATAATTCATGAGCACCAAATGTACCTTGCCTACGAAGCGCAAACTTTTTAACTTCAAAAACTTGAAAAAAAGTGTCATGGCGGAGGGTGTGAAAATCCTGAAAAAGTGTCATATCGGCGGGGTGAGCGTAGGACGAACAGTCCAATTTTGTGACGTCTAATGAGGTCAAGTGATGTTATATATTAAGACGATCTTGCCACAACGACAAGGATTAAAGCAAAATTGATGTTCTGTTTGTAAGTTTTGTTTGTTTATAAGTGCTGTTAGTTGATAATTCAAACCAAGCCCCCAGACTAGCTTCTTATCATGGCGCCAACTCGCACGTACAGTGTTCTGTACGCTTACGTCATGTCGAGAATTCCGTGAAATATATTGTTCAAAATTTATCAACAGTTTAACCAAACTGTGCTTCTTTTTTTAAATATATAGTAATCGTATTGTTATTAAAAAAATAAACTAATTTTGGATGCTTTTAAAATAGCGATTTGAAAAATCGCGGCATTATTTACGCAGAAAATTGCCGTTCGAGGGCTCTAACTCTTTTCGATATTTCAGCCAATGAGAAGGACAGGATCGGTAAATTTTGTCTGAAAGGCCGTCGCAATAGGCTATGCGTACTGAGTACGTTTAGCCTAAAAATGAGAGCTATAACTACTTGACTAATTCTCAATTTAGAGACGATTGTGGATGGCAAATAAGAGGATATCTAGACCAAAAATACACAAAATGATAACAAGATGGTCAACGAAAGGTCACACTCAGAAGTTCTACTGGATGTGTTAGCTTCTATTCTACAGGCATTTCCAAACTGAAGAAAATGTTCCAAAATAAACACATATTAATATGGTTTAGAACATTCCATAAATGGCAATACATAATTATTTATATTACGGAAGTGTATAGGCAAAACCTCACTCAACAATACAAGTAATAAAACATGTGAGATATGTCTTCAAGCTCCAGGGTTAAACCTATTGAGAAACGTCTTCACGACCACAACGTACGTCTTCACGACTACATCATACGTCTTCACAACCAAAATATACGTCTTCACGACCAGAACATACGTCTTCACGACCACAACATGCGTCTTCGCGACCACAACGTACGTCTTCACGACCACAACATACGTCTTCACGACCACAACATACGTCTTCACGACCACAACGTACGTCTTCACGACCACAACATACGCCTTCGCGACCACAACGTACGTCTTCACGACCAGAACATACGTCTTCACGACCACAACATACGTCTTCGCGACTACAACGTATGTCTTCACGACCACATCATACGTCTTCACAACCAAAATATACGTCTTCACGACCACAACATACGTCTTCACGACCACAACATGGGTCTTCACGACCACAACGTACGTCTTCACGACCACAACATGCGTCTTCGCGACCACAACGTACGTCTTCACGACCAGAACATACGTCTTCACGACCAGAACATACGTCTTCACGACCACAACGTACGTCTTCACGACCAGAACATACTTCTTCACGACCACAACGTGCATGTCTGTCTGTCAGTTTAAAAACGTCAACTAATATAATTATAGCTGTAAGAAAAGTATGGGTGCCCGTAAATAATCCCAGGGTAGTACAGTTTTTTTCAATTCAGTTAAATCGGTTTTCTAATGAAATCTTCAGAGTGAATAATCTTCTCTTATTCTCTCAATCTATATTTGTAATGTTTCGACAATGTTTTTTGCTGGAGAATAAACAACCAACGACGAGACTCAATAAAGCTATGACCAAAAATACCTATATACACATTGATGCTTGCTATTTAGATCCTGGACAATCCAAGTCAGTAATGTCACTTTCCAAAATGGGAAGACGGCTGATAGAACGTAACCACCAATCTTACGAACGACCTTCAAACGCCTCCAACTTCCTATAGCACGAACAGGGTTTCCTTATATGCTCATTTTGGGCATCCATAAATATCACATTCTTTACTAGAGAACAAGGTATATTGTAATCAATTTGTAATCATAAGGAAGAGTGATTGAGAAATCGTAAAAATTCAGTTTAAAATTAAAAGAAAGCAACGCACTGCATACATATATATCATATACATGCTATAGTGAGAGAATCGGTACTGCAATTGCTATGGAAGAAACAAATCGCCGTCAAACGGTGAGTGTAAATAGATGTGGACGACTGATGTGGTCTGCAATGTTTTTTGTGTTCAGGTTTGATATTGTGGGCGTCACATCAAACTGTGTAACTAATGACACATGAGTAAAAGTTCAGCTTTTTAAAGTACAACACATCGTTTTAAAACTAGCTAAGTGGTATCCTGTCTACATGTACAATGATATTGATCAGTGGTCAGTTAAAAGGTATACACGACGACAGTGGATGATCTCAAGGGAATCCCTGGAATATTTGGAGGATGTTTGAAATGAGGATGCCTATGGGCAGCCAATAGGACAGAAAAACATCTTTGAAACAAACAACGCTTACTCGTCCGGAACACCTGGTCTTATTCTTCTTGTTATGTTTAAGGGGTCTCCATAAGAATCCTTCTTTTGTTCACATTTTGCCTTCGTTTTATTTAATTTGAGTTTAGATTATGATTATGTTGACTTGCTTGTATTTTAGTTTTTGTTTTGTTTTTGTTTTTTGGTTTGTTTTGGTTTTTTAAAATTAAAATCAGTTTGTTCTGTTCTCTGAGTTCCTTGGCTGTTTTGTTTCAAAATAACTACATTTAGATAACGTGTTTTAATTCGATAATGTACTAAAACCTGACTCGTGGAAAGTGAGATGTACACATGTATCTCCTAACTTATTGCAACCAGGAAAACCTTGTCCCCAGAGTCTTCAACCTAGACGGTGTAAGAAAATGGTCATTGCTGGCGCACAAATGTTTGTGAATGAAAATTATCCCAATCCAATGATAGGCACTGATACAGTTAAATATATATAAGGATACATTCAGCTTCCTGTAACAAGCGATATTACTTACGACATCATTGACAGCAGAACATGTTATCTAACATCGCTAGATATAGGGTATTATATTACCCTTAGGGAATCTTATAGTTTTGGGGATGGTCTTTCATTTTTGTCTGGTAAGGAACTTTTTTCTTATTGATATTTATTCATTTTACGACAATTACGAAAAAAAATTTTCCAGTTTATATTCATCGCTCTTGTTGGCGAGATGGGTTTTAATATAGAAGGAAACTGGAGAGTCTGGGGAAACCCACGTGTTCGGGCAGGTGATCCCATACATTTTCATGTCCGTTCCGGGAATCAAACCACGGACGCCTCCGTGAAATGCGAGTGCGCCATCCGAACATTTATCACTTTCTAGTTGGTTAGAGTTTACATGGTTGTACCAGCTGAGATAAAGTCTTCTAATTTTACTAGTGCTCTCTGAATTAAACACTATATCACCACTATGTTCACATTTAAGAACGTGACATTACTGAAGTGGACTGACCAATATTGACATGGCGGGTGTCGTCGATGAAGTGGAATATCTGTTCTTATTCGCCCTGTTTCTTTCTGCAGTTTCCTTGTAAATATCATTTTTGAACATATTTTATCCTAGTTTTATCATATTTGAGTTTGAACCATGATTATGTTGACATGTTGCTATGTTCTGGTTGTTTTTGTCTGTAAATGATAATACTAATTAGGTTCAAAAATGAGAAGCTCAACTAGTTATGGTGTACTACAAGGGGTAGGTCATTCGGAACAAAATAGATAATCTGGATAGCCTGAATATAAAGTTATATATATATATAAAAGAAAATGTATTATCACTTGCGTATATTAACGATATATATATATATATATATATATATATATATGTGTGTGTGTGTGTGTGTGTGTGTGTGTGTGTGTGTGTGTGTGGGTGGGTGGGTGTGGGGGTGTGGGAGGATGTGTGTGTGTGTTCGTGCGTGCGTGCGTGCGTGCGTGTGTATGTGTATGGGTGTGTGTGTGTGTGTGCGTGCGTCCGTGCGTGCGTGCGTGCGTGCGTGTGTGTGTGTGTGTGTGTGTGAGGGTGTGTGTGTGTGCGTGCGTGTGTGTGTATTCCTATATATCCTTTATCTGAACCACCATCTGAGTACAGTGTACTACTTTTCACGAATTAATTGCGGTACAGAAAGTTGAGAGATGTGATCTGTATGATGATTAAAGTTAATCAATAAAAGTGTCAGCACGTGTTACTGGCAATGTATTTTGAAATGCATCAATTTCCGGGTTTTGTATTCCAAGTTTTGTTTTTAATTTTGTTGTCTCATTTATTTATTCTTCAAAGTTTTCTTTGTTCAAGGTTTCTTTTTGTTATTTCATACTTTGGATTGGATACATCGAAACTATTGCCGAAGAAAAAAAGTTATTCTAAATATGTTTTAGACAAAACCTACATCTTATCTCCTACTGTATTGTTCTTACAATAATGTTGTCTTGATGAAAAAATATGCATTTTTAAAAATGTCGCAGCATTCTTGTAACAAGTGACTTTTAGGCACGTGATGGAGCCATTAAACACCATGGCTCCCCACTGCTTGATGTGTTTTCCTGTATCACTGACAGCAAGTATAAAGAGTCGACTATCTTCGCGATGAGGTAGGATGAACACATCAAATATCCCCGTAATGACTTAAAATCAACGAGTTGCCTGTCATCGTCTTGCGTTAGGATCAACGAGTCGATTTTCCTCGTGATGAGCTAGGATACATAAGTCGTATGTCCTCGTGATGAGTCAAGATCAACGAGTAGACTGTCCTCGGGATGAGTCAGGATCAACTAAAGTACTGTCCTCGGGATGAATCAGGATCAACGAGTAGACTGTCCTCGTGATGAGTCAGGATCAACTAAAATACTGTCCTCGGGATGAATCAGGATCAACGAGTAGACTGCCCGCGGGATGAGTCAGGATCAACTAAAATACTGTCCTCGGGATGAATCAGGATCAACGAGTTGACGGTCCTCGTGATGAGTCAGGATCAGCGAGTAGTCTGTCCTGATAAATTAGGATCAAAAAGTGGACCGTCCACGTGATAAGTTAAGACTATTTCATCACTCGTTGCCTATTCTGTGATACAATTGCGTTTATATATAGTGCATTTCGGCCTTGTTTATAGATAACCTCTACTCCCTGTCAGTCTCTATCATGCGGAATTCCCTACAAATTTGTGTGTAGGATCCTGTACACACGAATAGGTTTGCCAGCTTTGTGAAACTGAAAATGGTCCTCTACAGCGTACGGTGTCAACCTAACACTGACATTCTCATTCTACGATAGGGAACACAAATTAAATACGATGTACCCTTCCCTTTGCGCACTAAGACTTCCATATCCAGTACATGTCTAAGGCGTTGTATTGTTTTTTCAAACCATGTGCATTGCTTCATTTCATTGCCATTTTTTGTTGATAAAAGTGATAAAATATATTGATTCTGAACACATTGCCAAATACAGACCTGCGTTAGAATGTCAATCGCCATTTTTTCTTGCAGCAATGTTAAGAACGAACTTTCCTGGGGCAGTATTGGTATGTGTGATGACTCTATATAGAGATTGCTGAAAGCTGTATAAACTTCACCATCGTTTGTTATTCACATACACATCAACGTAAAAAAGGGTTAACTGCTCAAATGTCAAGCGAACACAATGAAAACAGACTTTTAAATCCTTGTTCGAGACATGTTAGAATGTTACTTAGACCGCGGCGAGGTGTCATACTGTTGTGTCATGATTATATAATTCCGGTGTGACGACGCTGTAAAAAAAACGCCCCCTCCATTGCGTCTCAAACCATCCGTAGACGCCGTTGTCACTTGACATACGCTGTTGCGAGGCTATAAAATCACAAACCAAACGATGCACATTTTGTTTTGTTTTGTTTTGTTTTTTTTTTTTTTTTTTAGATTTTGTCTTGTATTTATATATAGAAAAGGTCCAAGACGGGACATCATTTCATATAATGCAAGCAGTAACTTGACCAGGATTGTTTTGGACCTGATAATTTCAAGTTGCTTAGCTTCTTAGACGTTGTTTATGGATTACGCTAGAACTATCTCAGCTATTCAGCTCATTAAACTTAACCGTGTCTCACCTTGTTTCATCCATCAAGGAACATTATTGTAAAAATATTCCTTCTTATTGACAAAGTTTCTCCTAAATATCCTGTTTTAACATTCAAAATTCTCGATAAATCTTTTTAAATATAGCATTATATATATATCACTAAAACATCGTTAATATATATAGATCAGGGCAAATGTTTGAAACCAACAATGATAAAAAAGGAAAAAAACGAGTCAGTCACATTGCTTTCGACGAGAGAAGTACATGTGACTTGCATGCTCAGCAGTGAGAAGTACATGTTTGTTCTGAATTGTAACGTTCAGAAGGCAAATGTACACGGTTTAACACGGCAACAGTTTGTCGTAATTAAATAATTTGTTATATCACCATCACACAACACAACATCCCAACACCCCAACCCCTTTTCGAGCTCCCTTTAAAACACATCAATCTTACGACAAT